CCAATTTCAGTCTGAGAAACCTTATTTGCTCTTCACTGACTCGCTTTGCGGCACCAGACAAACAAAAAAACGATATTGCGAAGTCATCATCTTGACTTGTAACTCTTCCAATAGAGCATAATTCGCGTTGGAGGAAGTAACATGCCACCCGCTACTGTCAACAATGCGTCTATGACAATACGGTATATTGTTTCAGACTCCCATGAGTAAATGGTGCAAAACAAGAAGTAATTTAGTTGCATAGAGAAGTTACGTTTTATTAATGAAAGTGAAAAAAATGTACAGGGCTTATTTATCTAAGCACCGGGGGTGAAGTTGGTGGCATAGGCCCACGCGTTGTTCACGGTGGGGTCAGCCAGGTGGTCGGACAGGTTCTCCAGGGGGCCCTTGCCGGTGACGATGGCCTGCACGAAGAAGCCGAACATCGACACCATGGCGAGGCGGCCGTTCTTCAGCTCCTTCACCTTCAGCTCCGCAAGCGCATCGGGGTCGTCGGCCAGACCCAGGGGGTCGAAGGCACCGCCGGGGTACAGGGGGTCCTCAACCTCCTGGAAGCCCTCAAGGCCACCCACGCGGTAGCTCTCGACGGCACCCATGAGGATGACCTGGGTGGCCCAGATGGCCAGGATGGACTGCGCGTGGATCAGACTGGGGTTGCCCAGGTAGTCCAAGCCACCCTCGGAGAAGATCTGCGCGCCGGCCTTGAACCACACGGCCTCGCCGAAGTTCACGCCGTTGCCGGCCAGCAGCTCGGGGGTCAGGCAGCCGAGCGCGCCGAGCAGAGCCCACCGAGCGTGGATCACCTGAAGATTTAGAAACAGGTGAAGGAAGAGAAAAAAATCGTCAGAACCTTAAAATAGCGAGCGTTTCAAAGCAGCAAAGATGATAGCATTGGGTAATTTCTGTAAACTAACAGGGTGAAACATCTCATGGTTGGTCCTTTTAGCGATGAATATTCTTGCGTACGTAATGTACCTCCTTTGTGTCGTTAGCAAATCTGGTAGGCTTACCTCAAGCTCGCGGTTCTTGGCAAAGGTCTCGGGATCAGCGGACAGACCCGCCGTGTCCCAGCCGTAGTCGCCGGGGTACTCGCCGGTGAGGTACGACGGGGGGGAAGAGAACGGGCCCAGGAACAGGTTGCGGTCGGGACCGTAGAAGGCGCTGCTGGAAGCCGCCTTGGCGGTCTTCCTCATCGTCACGCGGGCCTCGACATTGTTCACCTTGGCGGCGAGCTCAGCGCTCTGGCCGACGAAGGTGGAGGGGAGCACAGCAACGTTAGCGAGAGCAGCCATGCTGTATGTCTGGGCTGGGAAGAGAAGCTGTTTTGAGTGTTGTAAGTAAACTGGAATTGAGCTTCTGCTTCTGCTGAGAGACGATTCTCTAGCGACTTATGAACCAAAATTGCGTGTGGGGAAACTGGTTGGATGGAGTCATGGGTGGGTCTAGGAGCGTTCTGATTGGATGGTATCTGAGTATGAACCGCGCTTGACGCCTGAAGATCTCCTTTCCTCAGCACCCAAAATCCACGCAATCAGGGCTCAACCAATTGCGAGGACCCTGGTTGGTTACCATCTGATGTTGTTTTGTGGTGTCGGTGTGGTTGCACCACGGTCGTTTCGCTAGGCTGTGCGATGAAAGTCTGTGGAACAAAGTACGTTCTTCGCCGATGCTGCGAAGCAAAGCGAACGCCAAGGAAACACGTTTCCATGAAATGTGGTGATTTCGTTTTTCCTGTGACGTGGCGTGCAATCTAATTGGTTGAGCATGCTGCTCGATTTTCCATCGTCGCTTTCATCACCTCACCCAAAATGGAGCAAGTGTGGACCACACGACGATTGTGGGGTCAGATCAAACAGAAGTGGATGTTTTCTGGGGTGTGTGTGGGTTGGGCACGGTTTATACTACATCACTCAGCTTCCCTAGAGGTGTGCCTATGGCGGGTGTATCGGTGGTGGGATGGGGCGTGGTGGGATGAGGCAAGCTGGGGTGGGGTGTGCTGGGATGAGGGAGCCGAGTGACATTGCGGTTGGTTCTGTGATTGTATCGTTTAGTCAAGAAGTCAGAGCCCGAACAATTTCCAACGTGCACAGACAAGTCGCCATGACAGCACTTATCTCGTCAGAGGTGGGCAACTGAGCACACATCACATTAGTTTTGACTTGCGGAAGGCTTGGTGCGTTGCTGTTCGTTACTTTGCGGTTCATGGTGGGCAGTCGTGAACTATGTAGTTTCCGCACTTGCGAACAGTCAACCACAAACTCAGCGATAAGCTAAGCGAACTGGTGCAGTCTGGAAACCTATGTCTCGTCTTCTGAGGTTAATCTTCTCACTTGTGAGCTTGGCGACATCTCCAATTTCAGTCTGAGAAACCTTATTTGCTCTTCACTGACTCGCTTTGCGGCACCAGACAAACAAAAAAACGATATTGCGAAGTCATCATCTTGACTTGTAACTCTTCCAATAGAGCATAATTCGCGTTGGAGGAAGTAACATGCCACCCGCTACTGTCAACAATGCGTCTATGACAATACGGTATATTGTTTCAGACTCCCATGAGTAAATGGTGCAAAACAAGAAGTAATTTAGTTGCATAGAGAAGTTACGTTTTATTAATGAAAGTGAAAAAAATGTACAGGGCTTATTTATCTAAGCACCGGGGGTGAAGTTGGTGGCATAGGCCCACGCGTTGTTCACGGTGGGGTCAGCCAGGTGGTCGGACAGGTTCTCCAGGGGGCCCTTGCCGGTGACGATGGCCTGCACGAAGAAGCCGAACATCGACACCATGGCGAGGCGGCCGTTCTTCAGCTCCTTCACCTTCAGCTCCGCAAGCGCATCGGGGTCGTCGGCCAGACCCAGGGGGTCGAAGGCACCGCCGGGGTACAGGGGGTCCTCAACCTCCTGGAAGCCCTCAAGGCCACCCACGCGGTAGCTCTCGACGGCACCCATGAGGATGACCTGGGTGGCCCAGATGGCCAGGATGGACTGCGCGTGGATCAGACTGGGGTTGCCCAGGTAGTCCAAGCCACCCTCGGAGAAGATCTGCGCGCCGGCCTTGAACCACACGGCCTCGCCGAAGTTCACGCCGTTGCCGGCCAGCAGCTCGGGGGTCAGGCAGCCGAGCGCGCCGAGCAGAGCCCACCGAGCGTGGATCACCTGAAGATTTAGAAACAGGTGAAGGAAGAGAAACATATCGTCAGAACCTTAAAACAGCGAGCGTTGCAAAGCAACAAAGATGATAGCATTTGGTAATTTCTGTAAACTAACAGGGTGAAACATCTCATGGTTGGTCCTTTTAGCGATGAATATTCTTGCGTACGTAATGTACCTCCTTTGTGTCGTTAGCAAATCTGGTAGGCTTACCTCAAGCTCGCGGTTCTTGGCAAAGGTCTCGGGATCAGCGGACAGACCCGCCGTGTCCCAGCCGTAGTCGCCGGGGTACTCGCCGGTGAGGTACGACGGGGGGGAGGAGAAGGGGCCCAGGAACAGGTTGCGGTCGGGGCCGTAGAAGGCGCTGCTGGAAGCCGCCTTGGCGGTCTTCCTCATCGTCACGCGGGCCTCGACATTGTTCACCTTGGCGGCGAGCTCAGCGCTCTGGCCGACGAAGGTGGAAGGGAGCACAGCAGCGTTAGCGAGAGCAGCCATTGTGGATGTGTAAGGTCGTTGAATTAAGAAGCTGCTGTTGGGATTCCTGGATGAGTGTGCCTTACTACTGAGTTTTTGGCGATTGCTGACTCTTTTGAACTTGAGGTCTGAGGGAGAAAGGTGGAGGAGACTGCAGGCGTTGTTGGAGGCGATTGCGATTGGATGCAGTGTCATCGCGGATCGCGTGCATGTTAGGTGCCCAACGCTCCGAAATCCCCTCACCTGCTCATTAGGAATCCAGGCAATCGAGCTCGACCAATAGGGAAGAGGCTACACTCTGCGGGGTTCTGGTGGATTGTGCTAAACTGGTGGTGATCTTGGCGATAGTGTGTGCGAGGTGCTGAATTTGTCTTCGCGACACTTCGCCTCGTCGTCATTGAGCCAAGCAGCACAGCCAGCCAGATTTTGGTGTGAGCGATTTGCAAGCTGATTGGGCAACGCTGATCTTCAGTGGTCGTTTTGATTCAATACACCCGGAACCACTCTCAAACGTCTTGCCGATTGTCTTGGAGACCCGATTGTCTAGTGGAATAGGTGTGCAATAAGGAATAACTCATTATGTACCAGCTCCATAGTTCGAGGTTGTGCTGGAAGTGCGTGGCGCATGCGTATTGGCTCCTTGGTCTTTGGAGAACACCTTGCCTTCTCCACCACAGCCGTGACAGCACACCTAGATTTGCGAACTGAATGGGCACGACTCATGATTCTGCGTGATAGTCTCTCTCGCCGCACCACCACCACATGGAAACACAGTAGAACGTAACAAAACACACAAAACCACACCACACCACACCACCCTCGTTGATCATCGTCTGTGTCGCCAACAGTGTCGTTGGATTGTTGGGTCTCGTTCCCTGTCAGATTTGTCGCTCCTCACCACCTCGCTCGCCGCCATGAAAACTGGCCTTCCAACTCTCGAGGGACAGTTTGAGCCAAGAGAGAAGGTATAGTTCCAAGGCTATCTCAACTCTATTTCAAAAACCGCCTAGTCCCACTATCATTCCCAGTCTAATCGAGGTCAGCAGTAGGAGCCAGGGGACTGGTATCCCGAGATTTTTACAAAGAATGCAGGCAATATCGATAATCGAAGGCTCAAATTAATTTGCCACCGCACTACCCACGCGTAACCTTTTTGCACCGTGAATAACCATTTCAACTCCGTTTCGGAACTACCTTGGAGCGATCGGTCCTGCTCCTCCACTCGCGTCCTTACAGTGTACATTGATAAAAGACAGTGGTACAGATCGAGTTACTAGAAACTCTGCTGTTTCTCCTCGTCTCAGTGCAGACTATATTTAATTTCGCACGCCGATCCGGTCGTAGCGATGTTGAACATGACAGCAGCAGAGGCGGCGCAGATGCTAGGCCGGCCGCTAACGACAGCGGAGGCGGTGTGGCTGGAAGCGACGCGCGGCGTGGCGGATTATCAGCTGTACTGCTGCACTGTAGTGCTGCTCGTCATTCTCTACACGGTCGCGTGCCTGCCGTACGCGATATTAGACTACCTCCGCCTGCCTTTCTTCGAGCAGTACCGCCTACAGCCCGCCGTGGCCCACTCGCTGGCCGACACGTGGAAGTGCTATAAAGACGTGATCGGCGTGATGGTCACCACGATCCTCCCCCTTCAGCTGCTCTCGTATCCTTTCTTCAAGGTGCGCTCCCTTCAGCTCATTTTGTATCCTTTCTTCAAGGTGCGGTCCCTTCAGCTTCTCCCTTATCCTTTCTTCAAGGTACCAGTCCTCGTTCACCCAGCTGCTCTCGTAGTGTCACTCTCAGGCTGCCTTCTCACCGCCAATCACATCCTTCTTCCACTACGCGCCAACTGATTTTTTCCTTCCCCATAGCTGATCCACCCTCAAGCACCCCCCTTCCCCATAAAGTTGCGCTGATTCACCCCCCACGCGCCCCCTTTGCCCCATAAAGTTGTGCTGACACCCCTCACGCGCCCCCTTTGCCCCATAAAGTTGCGCTGATTCACCTGTCAAGCGCCCCCTTCCCCCGGACCCGCCTTGGTCCAATGACGCGCAACACAGGCTCACTCCCCGAACCAACCCCTTTCGAGGCGCCTCAAAAGTCGTCCCCTATTGAGGCGCCTCAAAAGCCGTCCCCTGGACCCGCCTTGCTCCAATGGCGTGCAACACAGGCTCACTCCCCAACCAACCCCCTCCGCCATGCCCTTCCGCTCATACGGCTATCCTCTCCCCGATCCCCTCCCCCATCCCCTCCCCCATCCCCTACCCCATCCCTTTCCCCATCCCCTTCCCCATCCCCTTTCCCATCCCCTCCCCCATCTCCCCCCCTTATCCTCTCCCAATTCCCATCCTCCCTCCTCTCTTCGCCCTTTCCCTGTACCATCAGGTAGCGGGAATCACGACGTCGCTGCCGCTCCGCACGCACTCCACGTTAGCGCTGCAGCTGTTGGTCTTCCTTCTCATCGAAGACTATGGCAACTACTGGATCCACCGCCACTTCCAACACCTCCCATGCCCTTCCGCTCATAGAACTTTTCCCCTCCCCCACCCCCTCGCCCATCCCCTCCCTCTTTCCATCCGTTATCCGCTCCCCCATCCCATCCCCCCCTCCCTTTTCTCCCCCTCCGTATGCGACCAGTTAGCAGGCATCACGGCGTCTTTGCCGCTCCCCACGCTCTCCACGCTGGCTTTACAGCTGTTCGTCTTCCTTCTCGTAGAAGACTACGGCAACTACTGGATCCACCGCCTCTTCCACCACCCGCTCCTCTACAAGCACATTCACTACAAGCACCACGAGTACACGTCACCCATGAGCGCCGCTGCCACGTACGCGCACTGGATCGAGGTGCTGCTGCTGGGCGTGCCCACGCTCGTGGGGCCTGCGATCGTGCAGTGCCACGTGGTCACGCTGTGGGTGTGGATCCTGCTGCGACAGCTGGAGGCCATCGAGACGCACTCAGGGTGAGAAGGCGAGGGTAGGGGGGGGTGGCATGTGGAGACATCGCCTTGTTGCGTCACGCTGTGGGCGTGGATGCTGCTGCGGCAGCTGGAGGCGATTGAGACGCACTCAGGGTGAGCAGGAGGAAGAGGGAGTGGGGGGATGGTGGGAGAGTGGGGTGGAGTGGGGAAGGGCTTTGGGGGGGGATGGAGAGGGGAGAGGGCTGCTTGTGGAGGCACAGATTGGGAATGAGGCTGGCATGGGTGAGATTGCCTTGCTGCTCTATTCACGTGGTCACGCTGTGGGTGTGGATCCTGCTGCGGCAGCTTGAGGCAATCGAGACGCACTCAGGGCAGAGGAAGTGGGTGGGTAGAAGGGGGGAGAGAAGAGGGGGGATAGAGGGGGATGGAAGGGGGGAGGGGTTGGGGGATAGGGGGGAAAGGGGTGGAAAAGGGGAATCTGGGGGAAAAGGGAAGGGCTCCTTGTGGGCATGAGATGGGGGGCACGGGTGGCATGTGAGGAGTTTGCCTTGGTGTTTCGTCCACGTGGTCACTCTGATGGCGTGGATCCTGCTGCGGCAGCAGGAGGCCGTTGGGACCTACTCAGGGTGAGCGCTGCGCCTGCGCCTTTTTTCTAGGCGCCTCAAAAACAGATGAGGGGAGGGGCTGGGCTGGTTGCGGACATGTGTGGGGGGAGGCTGCCTTGGTGCACAGCTCTGGGTGTGGATCCTGCTGCGACAGCTGGAGGTGATTGAGACGCACTCAGGTGAGCAGTCAGTGGGAGAGGGAGTGGGTGGGTAGCATGTGGGGATAGGCGTAGCATGTGGGGAGATTGCTTTAGTGCGCTATTCACGTGAAGATTTGGTGAGTGTGGGTGCTGCTGCGATAGCTGGGAGAGACACACAGGCTAGAAATAGGCATGGCATGTGGGGAGACTTCCCCTGGTCGCCGACTCTCCTGATCCCGTTCGACGGGTTCCACGACTACCACCATGAGGATTGGCTTTGAGATTTTTCAAGATTCGTTCCTTCTCTCCTTGCTTTCCTGTATCATACAACCAGGTACGACTTCCCCTGGTCGCCAACGCGCCTGATCCCGTTCTACGGGGGCCCTCGCTTCCACGACTACCACCACGAGGTGGGGGGAGAGAGCCACTGCAACTTCGCCTCCATCTTCACCATCTGTGACTGGCTTTACGGCACTGATAAGGTGAGATGCACGCTTGAAGCGCTCATGAGCAGGAACCATTACCAATTGCAGTTGGAACTGAGTGTTTTCAGTTGGAGGTGCATGGTAATCCGATTGGGCATGCACACACGAGCACCACATGCAAGCACCACATGCAAGCACCACATGCAAGCACCACATGCAAGAACCACATGCAAACACCACGTACAAGCACCACATGCAAACGCCACGTGCAAGCACCACATGCTTCTGCAGCTCAAAGCAAACCAGCAGCTGCTGTAGCAAACACTGCAAGATGCCCTGCGTCAAAGAAACATGCATGCAAGTAGCTGCCAACCCCAGCCTTTAAGTCGCATAAAAGTGGACTACTTACAGTTGTAGAGGTGAAAAGCGTTGATTGGAAGGAACATGCAAGTAGCTGGTCTGGATAATCTCTCGGGCTATCACCCACAACCTTTGAGTCGTCTCAAAAGTCCTCTACTTACAGCTTTAGAGGCTGAGAACGTTGCTTGAAAGGAATATGTCCAGGCTCTGAAGCAAGCAACGGTGCTTCTGGGCCTGTCACCTCCAGTCGTCAAGAACGGTGCTTTGAGCAAGCTCTGGGCCTGTCACGCCCTATGTGACTGGCAGCTGCTTATTTCACAGCCCATCCATTGAGCTGTTAACTCTCACCCGCTGAGAAGACTATGCGCCATCTCCTCTCCTCTCTGCACAACGCCATGCATACAGGTCTGCTCATGCAGGCTGGGTACTGAGCACCCCCTGAGAAGCAGCTAACCAGCTCCACTTCCTTCTCTCCTCCCCCGTCTCCCACCGTGCCCCCTTGTTTTAGGCACCTCAAAAATTCTAAATAAAATCATCTGAGGCGCCTAAAAAAATCGTCTGCTCATGCAGGCTGGGTGTTGAGCACCCTGCGCAGCTAACCAACTCACTTTCTTCTCTCCTCTCTCCACTCCCCCGTGCCCCCCCCCACGCCCTGCATACCGTGCACGCACGCCTGTAACGCAAAGCTGGCTGCTGAGTAACCAGTGTACCGCCGCCAACCAGTGGGCGAGCTTTGAGACGCCGTATAGCCCACTCTCCTCCTCCCGTGCCCCGTTCACTCACCCCCTGTGTGCTGTGCCCTGCAGCGCGCGCTGCTATGCTCATGCTGAGAAAAGATGAAGGTGAGCCGTTCACTGGGAGAACTCTGAGGCGTCTCACTATTCACTCCTCTCTCCCTTCTCCACCTTCCTGTCTCGTCTCTCCTCTCTCCCGTCTCCTCTCTCCCGTCTCCTCTCTCCCGTCTCCTCTCTCCCGTCTCCTCTCTCCCATCTCCTCTCTCCCGTCTCCTCTCTCCCGTCTCCTCTCTCCCGTCTCCTCTCTCCCGTCTCCTCTCTCCCGTCTCCTCTCTCCCGTCTCCTCTCTCCCGTCTCCTCTCTCCCGTCTCCTCTCTCCCGTCTCCTCTCTCCCGTCTCCTCTCTCCCGTCTCCTCTCTCCCGTCTCCTCTCTCCCGTCTCCTCTCTCCCGTCTCCTCTCTCCCGTCTCCTCTCTCCCGTCTCCTCTCTCCCGTCTCCTCTCTCCCGTCTCCTCTCTCCCGTCTCCTCTCTCCCGTCTCCTCTCTCCCATCTCCTCTCTCCCGTCTCCTCTCTCCCGTCTCCTCTCTCCCGTCTCCTCTCTCCCGTCTCCTCTCTCCCGTCTCCTCTCTCCCGTCTCCTCTCTCCCGTCTCCTCTCTCCCGTCTCCTCTCCCCGTGGCAGTTGAGGAGACGATGAATGCGAGCCGTTCACTGGTAGAGTTCTGAGGCATCTCAAAGCTCGCTCTTCTCTCCCCGTCCCCTCCCTTACTCCCTGCGTGCCATGCCAACAGGGCTATTATGCGAAGGTGGTAGCCGAGGAGAAGATGAAGGTGAGCCTTTTACCTTTTACTGGGGGAGTCCTGACGCATTTCAAAACTCACTCTCTTCTCTCCCCTTGCCTCAACCCCTGTGTGCCATGCCTACCAGCAGGGCTACTACGGTAAGGTAGCAGCCGAGGACAAGTCAAAGGTGATAATTTCACTCGGGGAGTTTTGAGGCAACTTAAGGCCTACTCTCCCCTCTCCTCTCTCCTCTCCCACACGCCCCTCTCACCTTCTGTGCGCCATGCCTGCAGGGCAACTATGCCAAGGTGGCTACGGAGGAGAGCATGGTGAGCCGCTCACTGGGGGAGCTCTGAGGCATCTCGAAACTCACTGCCCTCTCTCCATCCTCTTCTCTCCTCTCTCCTGTACCCCGTGCACCCCCACCCACCCCCTGTGTGCCATGCCTACAGGGCTACTATGCCAAGGTAGCAGCCGAGGACAAGGTGAAGGCAAGAATTTCACTGGTGGATTACTGAGGCGTTTCAAAACTCACTCTCCTTGCTCCTCTCGCCTCTCCCCTGTATCCTGCTCACCCCTGTGTGCCATGCCTGCAGGGCTACTATGCCAAGGTGGCAGCCGAGGACAAGATGAAGGTGAGCCGTTCTGGGAGGGGAAGCTTGGGGGGGGTGGGGGGGGCTTTACTTGTTCCAGAGGTCAGGGAAGGCTGGGTTGAGTGAGTAACTGCGGAGAGGCTTCATCCAAAAAAAGTTTGCATGTTTCAGCATCCCAACCCTAGGAACGTGGATTGGTTGCTATGCCACTATGGTATGGTGTGATGATTGAATGGTTGGTCATCTGATACGGAAATTTTATCCATCTGTGGGGTAGCAGCGTATCTTGCCTTCTATGGTACACCCCTTCATCCTTTGTTTCTCGGGTTTGTTGTTTTGTTGCTCACTAGTGCTGGCTGATCTGATTTCCTGTCTCCGTAATGCTTGCAGAAACTACGGGCAGAGAAGACAGGTCTGAAAAATGAGTAGGGTTAAATTCTCGTCCCTTCAAAGTCAGACACTTGGAAGGGGAGACAAGTAGCAGTTTCCCTGCATAGCGTTTTGTGGTACACTAGCTGTGTAATCAAGTGGAGCTCTTCCTCAAGCAGGACAACAGTACATAATTTTATTTATCATGTCGTAGGTACATGAAGGATTCCAAGATCTGCAACAGGATGGATCAGCTTCACATCTATTTCGTGACCTTTGCGGGTTGTTAGTGTATATCTGATTTCACAAGCGGGAAATCTGAATCTCAGAAAAGAAGAGAACTTTTACTGTGGACTAGAAACCCGCAACAAAATGGGCTGGTTCACACCACACCCCTTCGAGCAATCGAAAATCGAATGTGCTCTTAGCGAACATGAACTTCTGCTTTTCCGCCAGCGCTCGCTCCTCTGCCTCTGCCAGAGGAAGAAGCTCACAGAAAGCTTTCTGCACCACCAGATCGCTCTCAGATCAATTTGAAGCCATGGATGCGCCAGCGTTCCTAAAAACGTTTCTCACGGACGAGCCAGTTTTCTACTGTCCGTCGTCTCCCCGTAGCCGGTTCGATGCCGTTTCGACACCACTGCTGGCTAACCACCCCCGATTCTGAATCGCAACTGCGCCACAGACCCACGGAGGAAGAAAAAAAAAAGAACACGCAAGTATACGCACACACGCGCGACCTTGCGCGACTTGCAAATCAGAGTAGCTCTGATGACTGGAAGGTTGGAAACTTGGCTGGAAAAGCTCGACAGAGTTGCTGGACTTGGCTTGATGAGAGAAAACTTACACTATGTTCAAGATTGTACAAGCCCACTAAGGCACAACTTCTTAAGCATTACAATCATGCAAATTGATAGCTCAAACTAGGCTGCTAGACAAGGCAAATTCCTTGGGAACTTGGGCACAATTCTGCTTCCATGGACCTTGAGTGACTTTGAGAGCCACATGAGGTGCATGAATAAGAAGGCTCTGGAATTCTCTTATTTAGCTGATTTTGGATTGTAGAAATCTGTAGAAAGTGATTCCGAACTGTAAAGAGAATTCGGCTGAAAACTGATTGGTTGCGGAAGTTTCTGAATATTTCGCGAAGCCTTGACTCCGTCGCCAACATTCCCCCCTTGCTGCTCCTTATGTGCCAAGGGCTGGGGGCGGCAGAAACTCGCTTCTCCAACAGCGCGCACGGCGATCCCGTTTCGTATCGCCGAAAAATGGTATTCAATGGGAACAGCTTCAGACAGCGTCGTCCCCTCTCTCCACCTCCGAGTCGCCTTCACCCGCATCTGGCGCTGGCGATTTGAGGTCCGCTCGGCACACGGGACACGTGATCTTGGAGGCGAGCCAATGATCAATGCACGCCACGTGGAACTGATGCTCGCACGGCAGCACGGACCGAACCAGCTCGCCCTCGTTGAAATCACTCAGGCACACTGTACACTCCGTGCTCGTCAACAATATCCCCCGTTTCAAGGATTCTGTCTTTTGAGAGTCTGATTTTCGTAACAGGTTAGCAGCGTCAATGGTAATAGCATTCTCCCTTGTAGTCGCGGCTCCAACTGCGATGATTTCCTTCTCGCCATTTTCCAATCTTGTCCCCGTATCGGTAATATCATCCGCAACGGGGGGGTAAACGCAGTAACGCCATGTAGGGAATGTTGCGATTCGCTCCGCGTCCAGCCCGCCGCCAGACGCTTGCGGACCACCTGCGCCGGCGACCGCCGCTGAATCCGCGTCATTCGTCACGCGGCGAGCGCGGCGCAGGTGTATCCGCGTGACGTAGCACCGAGCTGCAAACGTGAGGAGCCCGATAATTACGACGAGGAAAAAAACGCCAGCGATCGCGAGGCAGAAGGGAAGCGATTTTACCCCTGCCGCGCCATTCCCTCCCCCCGCCGTTATCCCCTGCGCCGCCGCCGCTGCCGCTTGCGCGCCTGGCAGCAGCGCCTCGTGGTTTTCCGACAGCTCGTCTTCCTCATCTTCGCGTAGAAACGGTGAGGGCGGGGGAGCTCCGAGCAGGGAGAGTACTAAGGGGAACGCGATGGAACTTCCCGCGAGCGACTCGGGGAGGCTTGAAGCCATTTTCCACAGGGGGTGTCGGGTAGAGTGGGGGGGGGGGGGGGGGGGGGGGGGGGGGGGCTGTCCGATTACGGCGAACGGGAGAGAAAGGTGAAAGCTTGGTACCTCAATAGGAGCCCGGAGGCAAGATCAAATGATGGGTTGAAAAAAACGGACCATGCTCGCTATCATGTTTGGTCCGCTACAGGCCGCCAGTGAGAAGACGGCTGAATGAAAATATTGTTGAGATTCAGGGTGGAGCTCTGCACTGCAGCAGGACAGGGTGGAGCTCTGCACTACAGCAGGACAGGAGGGCGAATCTGTAGAGCAGATTTCGGAGCTGCAGAAGAAGGCGCATCTGCAGAGATTTCGGAGCTGCAGAAGAAGGCACGTCTGCTGAAACGAAATTCTGCAGAAGACCACAATCTCGACCGACGAACCCTTCCAACGCGAAAACGCGATCGTTTCGGAACTTTTGCGTGGGAATTTCGGAACATTGCGGACATTGAGAAATCGACCCCGGGGAACAGTGCGCGGAACTAGGGTGTTCAATCTGGGGCGAAATTGAACTACCTGCACAGAATGAACTTGGCGCACGTTTTCGTAACTACGAAAATTTACAGAAGTTGTTTAAAAACAACCTGAACAGCTAAAACAACTACTTTTAGGTAGGTCAAAATTACCTACTAAGCACATGTTGTAATTTTTACCTGCCGACGCTGAGTTGGCAAAGCGCAGCTAAAAGTAGTTATGTAAATGTTCTTGGGCTAACGTTCTCTGCATGGTTCATTGGTTGGATAGCCTCTATTTCACCCCTTGTTGTATTCTATCTTTCAACTATTCTCGTGAATTTTCTGTGTGGCCCAAATCTATGCCTTCACGGAATTAGACAAATTTCTGTCTCCTTAGTGAACCACCAATATCGTGTCTACGCAGAAAGCATTCCATAGAGCTCGTTCATCAGTTAGAGCAGAAATCTCTTCATGGTGCGGTGAGCGTGGATCGAACACGCATAGAGCCCGTTCTTCTACGTTAGGTCTCATCGAACTTAGCTAGTCGACATGTGGAAACGTCACCGAGCAGGAGCTCAACTTCATGCTGTTGGGAGTACGAGCTCAATGGGAGATGAAACATCCACCGACTCGTGCAGAGGGAGACGAGGAATCGCGAACTTCTGGAGATGACGAGAACGCTGAAGAACCGGCCGAAGGCGGAATGCAGGAGCCACGAGGTGTTCTAGGACAAGGAGAACCGATGAGCCCTGGAGAAGGCTCGCAGCAGAAGGCGGATGCAAGTCCGAAGAAGGCGGTTGGCAAAGGACGCTTGAGCGGTCGAGGATCTGCAGTGAAGACTGGTGGAAGCTTGGCGGTTTCTCATCCATTGGCATCGAAAGACGGCGGAATTGCACATGATTACGGATACTTCAAATTTTCTCCCGACAAGATCACGGTGACAAAGCTCTTGGAAGGACGACATGACTTATTCGTGTGGAGGGAGTCCATTGAGCCTCAACTTGAAATTGCGCAGCTGAAGCAGTTCATCGACGGCTCGATCAAGATTCCACGGCTGAGCGACATTTCGCAGTATACACAATTTCGTTCGGCGTAACTTCTGACCTTTATGGTGATATCACGCTGCTGCTCTCCATCCATGAAGATCGCCTTGAAGTCATGTCGTCTACGAGTGGACGCGGGCTACCGGGCGTGGCGCTTCATCATGGAGACCTACAAAACGACGGACTATCTCTATATCGGCCTGCTAGAGAGGAGCTTGGTGACGCTAGAGATGGCGGAACACGAGACGGCGACGACCTACTGCAACCGTGCGCAGATGATTCTCGCTAGTATGCGAATGGCTGGCATCAACTATTCAATGGCTTCGTATGTGACTCATGTCCTTACAAGTCTTCCCGCGGAGTACAAGTACCTTCGACGAATGCTACAATCTTTGGAAAGCTGCAAGACCCTCGACGAAAACACTTTGACGAGCAGAATTATCGCGGAGGAGTGCACACTTGAGCTCGAAAAGCAGTAGTCACCTCTGCCACAGGTCAACAAGGCGTCGATGGGACAGCAGCAGCAGCTGCAGCAGAAGCGTTGGTCTTCTTCGACAACTGGTGAGAAGAATAGAACGAGAATGAATGAACTATGAGTGAAGTGAGTACAAATAGCAAAAACCTGATTGGGTTGTACCCCCTATGGGATACCCCACTGTAGCCTACACAACAGCATAAGCTACATATATGTTCTGACACACCCCCATAGGCAAAGTGGGGGAGAACAAGGGGTCACAAGACCAGTCAAGCAAAGCAAAGCAAAGCTCAGGGTGGATCACAAAGTCACCACACAGTCCGAGCACAAGAGCAAGGCCACAAGGCCAGTTCACATGCAGGAGTACACACACATATATATATAAAGCTAGACAAGCAAGAGCAGGTATATATATGTGACAGTACAAGTAAAGTCAAGAGGAGAGCAAGTGAGGCAAGACATGCACAAGACCCAGCTGGGTGCAGAAGCGCTGATGGTCACAAGGTGCGAGTGCCTTGGTGAACACATCAGCCGTGTTGGCCTCAGAGGCCACGTACGCAAGCCGTAACTGACCACGCTGCTGTAGCTCACGAGCAAGGAAGTAGCGAAGAGCAATGTGCTTCGTTCTGTGCTCCACCCGCTGCTCTCGACACAAGGCCAGCATGGCCTTGTTGTCTACGTACAGCACTGGAGGAGAACGAGGCGGCTCTCCAAGGTCAGTCAGCAGGTAGGTGAGCCAGCGAAGCTCCTGTGCAGCCATGGCCCCTGCGTAGATCTCAGCCTCACAACTGGAGCTGAGAACCGAAGTCGAACGAGTAGACCGCCACGAGACAGAGCCGGAAACAAGGCTGAAGGTGTAACCCTGTGACGACCGCTGCGTAGCCTGGTCGTCAGCCCAAGAAGCGTCCGCGTGACCTG